AGAGGTGACACATGAAGACGATCAGATGGCTGGAGCACCCCTCCTATGAAGACAGGCTGAGAAAGTTGGGGTTGTTCAGCCTGGAAAAGGCTCTGGGGCAGCCTAATTGTGGTTTTCCAGTATCTAAGAGAGGTCTATAAAAGAACTGGAGAGGAACTTTTTACAAGGGCTTATTGCAATAAAAAAAAAAGGAAATTGGTTTTAAAAGCAGGAGGGAAGGTCTGGATGAGAGATTATGAATTAATTCTTTACTGTGAGGGTAGTGAGACACTGGAACAGGTTGCCCAGAGAAGATGTGGATGCATGGTCCTTGGAAGTGTTCAAGGCCCAGAGGGATGTGCGAATTGCCCTGGACCAAGTCCAGCAGGGTGACCTGCTGCTGGCTAGTTGACAGGTGCCCAGATAGAGTAATGGAACTCCACCAAAGATGAGAGGACTCTTGAGCTGTTAAGATCCATGTGGGTTTATTGAAGGAGAGGCTGAGGACTGAGGAGCAGGAACAGGAGAAGGGAGACAACTTCACGTGAAGGGGAAGGCTTTGAGAACAACTGGGGAAGGAGGGGCCAGGTATATAACTGGGGCAGGATAGGCATGGTCAGGGTACAAACAGTCCAGTGAGGGAAAGGTTCAGGGGAGGAGCAGGGGTGGGGTGACATGCACAGGACCAATGAGGGAGAAGGGAAGGAACGGTTTTTGGAGGGAAACAATGGGGGAACCAAGAATAAGGAACTTTCTAAAACTGGGGAGACTACAACAAATTATGGACATACACTCATTTGCATGAGGGAGCAGTGAGCTCTGGGAAAAATGCCCTATCTTAGACAAATGCAGTTTCCCAGGGCATCCCCAAACTGCTTTCTCCAGGGGCACCTCCCACAGGATGAGACTTTGAGCAACCTGGTCTGAGCAATCTTCCATCTAGTGGAAGATGTCTCTGCCCCATAGCAGTGGGGTTGAAACTAGATGGTCTTTGAAATCCCTTCCAACTCAAACCATTCTTTGATTCTATGATACGCATGTGGGTAAGGGGAAGAAAACTATGTTAAGATCATCTCTGTAACTACACTGGAAAATCAGAGATAATTATAATATCAGCTCTTACATTGCTTAGCAGGTTGAGCTTACTACAGTATTCCGAGGACACTGCTTTCCTCTGCTATTTTTATATTAATGAGGGAATATAATGCTCATGGAATGATACCACCAGCAACAGCAAGATCCAGGAATAGCATGGGCAGGTGCTGGGCACAAGTTTCTCTGCCAATCAATTTCAAGCCTGACTCATCTTCTCTTAGTGTTGTATTTTCCTGAAGCAGAGATTAATCACTGTGCCAAACTGTATGGTGTAAAGTTCCACTTGGAATGAGAATGACTGTAGAAAAATTTTCCTCATCAATGCCTCATAATTTGAAATCAGTACTGCAAGGACTTAGTGATGGGAGTGAAAGATTCTCATGAAAATTACTTCACCTGCAAAAATAATTTATGCAAAAGAAAGGTGGAAATTCCTCCCAACCCGAAGAGAAAGATCTTTTTTAAGACCTGTACTTCTTGCATTTGTGCTGCAATATTTAAACAGCAGCTGCTTTTCTAATCAAACTAAGTTGTAAAACCAAGCTGTGTTATGAATTTCACCTTTTGCAAGAACTAATCCAAAGTGCATCTGTCAATAGCAACATCTATTTTTGGTTCATTGCAAAGTATTTTAAGTACTGGAGGGTATGCAAAGAATGGTAAAAGGAGCCAATCAACATTTTTATTGTTGCAATTTTAACACTTAAAAGCCTACACATCAACCTTAAAGAAGGTGTGCTGTGAGCCACACCAGAAGACTGTTTATCCATGATTAAGTATCACTGTGAGGTGATAACATGGAGAGTCATATAAGAACATAGTTGGCAACTTTACAGAGATAAAATACTAGTATTTAAATAAAATGCTTTTATTTAAAGCAACAATTGAGTTATTAACACAGTAAACATCTTAGGGCAAGTGCTGCTTTTAAGTTCCTGTTAAAGTGTTTTTTTCCTTCTGTAAAGCCCATCCCAGGATATTTCCTGAAAAAGTCTGTCATTGTGATAGATGGAAGTATGCGGGGAAGAGAAGCCAAATTTCAAAAAGTGCTTGGCAGAGAAAGAGTAATGAAAGCAACTTAACATATTATTTAACAAAAGCAGCCAGGAAAAAATTTTGATGTGTGGCAACCATTTAAAACAGTTTGACTTTTTCATGAAGGTCACAGAGTCCCTCAAGATAAGGGCAGAAGTACAAGCTACAGCACAATAAATTAGACTGCACTTGCAGGGTGTCACATGGAGCCAATAACTTACAAATATGCTCCCACCCTGGTGCAAAAGTCACATGTGTTGAAACAGCTCTCCCTTCAGTACAAGTTGGCTAATTTGTTCTTAGTTTGGGCTGTCAAAGTGTAAGATCTTAATCGTAGGTACAAAAAAAGCAGCAGTTCTACTACAAATTTTCTTAGTGTAGTAAACTTTATCACTACTCTACCCTTGCACTTTACAACATATGCCAAATACTGTAGATTGGATTTGAAAGACCAAAAAGAGGCACTGTGGCAATTTTCCAATTGCCATTAATTCAGGTTTCATATACACAAGACTGCTTACATTTCAGTTCAGATCTTGACCCTGTTATATTCAAAGACTGCTGAAGAACAACTCAATACAGTTTCATATATGCTACACAGCAAAGCTGGAAGATTGCTAGTATTAGCAGGTATTTCTTCAGGTATATGAGAACAAAGAAAGAACCTTGGCAGAAGACCTGCCTTTCATTAAGGACATGGATTAGGACAGTCAGCAACATTATCCTTTATTACTTAGTAATTCTCACGGAAATTAAAATGATTAAATAGATTCTGCAGCTTTGGTCATTCTCCTATAATAATCAGGGTTTGCCTACTTTCAGTATATTTCTTGCATTCTTAATTTTTTCCACAATTCCCTGCAACGTTGGCTATGTTTTGAAATGGCTATGTATTCATTTAGGTTGACAGCCTTTCATACCTTGCTTTGATATCCTTCCATTCCCTTTCCCTCCTCCAAGCAGCACTTTCAAGGCTCTAAGTGGGACCACACAAATGGAAACAAAGACGAGTTCATCTGACCTGTGCAGCACTGACAGGGTCAGTTACTACAAACTTGACTAGGCAGTCACAGCCCTGTCCTTGACAAACTGCCTTTTTCACAGCTCAGCTGAGATTTTTCTATGGATCTGAATGAAAGACATCAAAAACTAATTTCCAAGAGGTTGCCATACTGAGATCATTTGTTGGTATAAAGCAAAACTGGATGACTGGTGAGCCAAGAGTGCTCTTTATAAGCACTAATCCCAGTGTATCTATATGGGTCACTTTTCCCTAGAGCTGGAACTGAGCAGAAGCTGAGTAAGGAGAAAACCAGAAACACTGATACTGACTTCCACCACATTACAGCCTAGCAGTGAATCTCTGCCCGTGGTTTACAAAATGAAGGTTTCCAAGGGCATAGCAACAGCATGCTTTCTCCTTGAAATTATTTGTATTACTGTTCTACTTTACCTTAGTTTAGCATGTAATTGATTTAAGTGTAAAATGAGACTTTATTTTTCCAGACATTTATTTTATAAAATTTGATTTACTAGAAAAATACATTATTTCTAATCTACAGCAACCTTGTCTATACCCTTTTTAATTATATGGGTATTTGTGTTTCATTATTATCCTTCTGGGTTTGATGGCAGCATTACAATTGTACCAAGCTCCTTCCTAAAGAGAATGCAGTTTTCTTTTTCTTATCCAACTCACTCTACCCTAAAGGTATCCTGAGGAAGTCCCTTAATAAGTATGAGTGAAGCAGCAAAAATGCATTCTCTGCAAGAACATTTCCAGGAAATTATTCTCTCTCACACACTTATTTCTGTCTGGAGATGCAGAGACAAACAGATGGGGCTGTTTACAACCACCTCATGTACACATACTACTGTCTTTACGCTTTTAGACAATGTGCCTTGTGCATGTGTCAGAGGCAAAATTAAAAATAAGATATTAAGAGAAGTATCTAATCTCTTTTTGAAGACTCCAAGCCATGCTGTCACATGGCTTTATGTTGCTTACTTTCTACATAATTTCACCTTTTTGCAGGCTAACTTTATTTAAATTCCACTTTTGGCACTAGATTTTGTGATGCCTTTGTCTATAGAAAGAAAAAGCCTCTATTCCATTCTTACTCTTAGTCAGAACATAAAAACATCCTACATATGAGAAAATGAATCCACATTCCAGTATTTATTCTATAAATTGTAGGTCTTAAATATGCTAGACATCTCAATTTAATTACTGTTTTTCTAGACCCCTAATGATTTCAGTTGAGTCACCATCCCTGGATGTTTTTAAAAGACAAATAGATGGGCACTTAGCGACACATTTAGTGATGAACTTGGCAATATTAGGTTTATGGTTGGATTTGCTATTAAAAGGTCTTTTTCAAACTACATGATTTTACAATTTCAACTAATTTCCATGAACTCTCTACAAGTTCCATACCTGTCTTAAAAGTCCTGACCAGGGCCTAGTAGTTTATCAGGGTCCTACCAAAGCTGTGTTTAGTGGAAATGTATATTTTGTATAACCTTTTTAGTAACAATACTTGTTATGAGGTCAAAGTAATTGTCTGTGAAGAACCCTGTATTCTACTGAACCTGTTCCATATAATCTGTAGGTTACACTGTTTTCCACTGAAGTAATTTCTCTTAACTTTATAAACCTTAAATTTAGCTAATTCTTATATACCTTCACTATGCGTAATAAGCATCTCCAAAGGAGTCCCCATGCTACTACACTGAGACACTTATCTGAGCCTTTAGAGCACCTGCAACAGTATTCAGCTCAAAATCAAAGCATAATTCTAAAGCAAGCCTCCACACCAATAGCTAAGTCCAGTTGTCTTGAGCTCTTGCATAGGTGATTAGAGCAAGACAGCAGGGCTCATGCTCATTACCTGAATTGTCTGGTAAACTGAAGGATCAAATCCTTTAACAGTCACTTCTCGGAAAACTGTAGGCTCCAGTTCCTCTTTGGTCAGATCACAGTGATATATAATACCTAAAATACAGAATACAATGCAAGTTTGTCAGCTTAGTATATATCCAACACTAAAATGATGCCAGTTTAGGCACTGTGATGAAGTCAGGAATGGGAAAGGTATCTCAGCAGGGTGAAAATCAGTAGTTCTGGACTAATTTTTTCATTTATTATACAATTTAACACTTATATATATGCATTTTATCTAGGAAGGGTGCAAAGGCTTTTGTGCAGAAAGAGTAATTCTCACCACTCACACAAAGCCAGGAGACTTAAGCAGAATAGAGGAAAAAAACCATTCACATAAAGTTAGAAAGGACTTATTGAGAACAATAATGTTAGAGGAAAGAAATGTAAAGTCAAATTTAAAACATTCCCTTTTACATCCATCAGACTGAAAAGAAATATATCAAGAATTTCACTCAGATCAACAATTTTCTCCTTATGATAAAATATTTGAAATTAAAATTCAAATGGCCTAGATAAAAGAAAGACCTAAACATTCACTTGAAATTGTGGCAGAGTAGCACAGCTATGGAACTGAACAAAATCTGGTCTTGAGTAGCTTCTTTTACATCTTGATCCTGCAGGTTTGAAGACAACTGCACTTGAGTTGTACCTATGATTTCCAAAGAATTTTGCCCATGAGGAAACTTATGTCTATAAATAGTACAGAACTTCTAGGATGCAGCAGAGGCTGAATCACAGGGAATGCATCTATCTAGACACTACACTGATGTGTAAATAGCCAAGAATAAATTTGCATTTAAACTATAAAATGTATTTCCTGTCATTCAACCCTAATAATATTTGAATATGTGTCATATAATGTGACTATCATGTTTGCACACTGGCTAACATACCAAAAAATCTTAATATTCATGCCTGCACTAGAGATACACAGGATACATAAACAAACTTAAGTGTTAATTATTCTTTGTTTTCCACCTTTATAACAAGCTGGTTCCTGCAAAATTTGGAACATATATTAGGGAAAAGAACACTAAAAGGTATGGCAGTAAGCACTCTACTGGGATTCTCAATGTAATAAAATTAACCAAGGTGGACAGGACTTCATTGAAATCCTACTGTATTGTGTGTATTGTAGACACCTTCAGGAAATAGAAGTAATTACTACAGAGGTTATAACAAAAAAAAATCATACAGACTAAAACATGAAATAATGAGGAAACTTATCTGATATGAGGCCATTGCCTCTTTAGGTTAGTTTTATAGACTGGAAAATCAGGAAGATAGAAATTGGTAAACAAATGCAGATGTAAACTAAGACCTCGAGCAACTGATAAAGCCTTTTTCCAAAACAGTGAGTTAACAGGGGACTAAAAGTAGGACTACTCTAGTCTGCTGGGATTTTTTTTTTATTTATCACAAAATTACTAGTAAGCCTGATCAGGTTGATAAGTGCAAACCAGCATTAAGGCACCACTTCCCTTAAAGATCAGGATCCAGAAAATGATGTCGAAGTGCAGTGTAAAGCCCACCAGGCAGCAAGAGCAAAGCAGCTGACACAGAGGCAGCAGCCCGAGCTGGGCAATGTACTGGCAAACACTGCACACAGAGCAGGCAGAATTGCCACATCTTAGCAAACCACACCATAAAGAATAAGCACAGTCACAGACTGCATTTCTAGAGCAAATCAACCTAATGTTACACTAATATGCAATTCAACCCCTGCTACTGCATCTCTTGTTCTGTTGTATTTTTAGTGTCACAGCAGTTAATATAAAAAGCCATTGTAATATTTTTAACTGTTTTGCCAGGTACTAAATCAATGTAAAACACCAGAGTGGTCACCTAAGCATCTGACCAGAGTGGACAGCAGGAATAACCATATTTTTCAAGGAATACCAGAAATTATTTTATGGTCTCATCATATATGGGTTTAGAACTGCTTTATTCATTACTTCATATATATAGATCATTATTATTACTTTTGTTGTAGGTATTAAACACGAGTATGTTAATTTGTTTCTCATTAGAAAAAAAAGAATCATTCAAGCTAATACAGGTGCAAATGATATCGATTTCCAATAGTAAAGTATGAATATCTAGGTTAACCAAGGATCAGCCCCATACCTTTTGTTTGATTATTCCTCTGATGAGGTGAATGGAGGTTGCACACAAACTAAAACCTACCTTCAAACTACCTCTCTGCTCTGCTTTCCTCATTCTTTCCTTATCCTCATTCAGTCTACCTACATATCTTACTTCCCCTTTTTCTTCCAGATTCCAGGTCACTCTGCCCCAGTTAACAGAGCTATGCCATAGTGAATTCTTTGTAGATGCTAAGGAAATTAATGAAAAGGAGGAAAATAATCTGCCTAAGAAACCAGCACGCAGTGAGAGCAGCTATTGCTGGCCAGCTGGAAAATCACAGGCCAAAATAGATCTGGGCTCTTCCTATACACATTTTTAGCAGCTGCAGAGACTCTACTGGCTCAGCTGAGATGAACAGTGCAGGACTGCAAAACTGGCAACTTCTGGCCCACAATGTGGTCAACTCAACTATGAACCATCAGGCTGGATGAAGTGAGAGATAAATTCAAGAGTGTCCTCAAGCCACTCTCCAGCTGTAATAGCTGCAGCAATCTGAATGCTGTTTAAAAGAGGAACTGAAAATATATAATATTTCTCTTTATGCAAACAGTTAAGACAATAGGCAATTCATCACACTTCCTATCTGGTAAGACTGAAACCTAATTTTGATAATTTGACATGATCCTTTCTAGCAAAACCAGCAAACTTATCTAAAGTATTTTACAGCCCTTTTGCAATGTAATGTTACTGGGCTCTAACTGAAACAAGCAAAAACAGGTCAGATGTTATAATTACATTTTTATCCTCTTATGATACAAAACCTTAGGAGAAGATAAAGATGCTGAAACCTCTCTGCCCCTTCATATTTGAATCCTGTGTTGTATTAGATATTGATTGTTTGGGCCATACAGAAAGAAAAAAAAAAGAGTGAACAGTAAATACATTTTCTTGTCATATACTAGATTGACAATTGTGTAGAAACTTCTTTCCTATGCAAAATCCTAGAATATTTACTTTTTTGCCACACCTGTATTATGTAATGTTTTGGACAGCTCCAGCCTTGCAGGACTGTACAAAGAATATTCCTATAACAATTCAACAACACCAAGTACTGTAAGGACAGATAGTAAGGATGCTCAAATAAAGCTATGCATAAACAAATCATAAAACTCTCAGAGAACAATTTCTGCGACTTTTATTGATGTTCTTTAAATTTTAATTAAAAATCACATTAAACACATTAACAATTATCTTTTACTGAGGTTTTCACCTTCTATCTTGCTGTATGAACTGTGAGAATGCTACAATTATATCGCCAGTACAAGTCAGTCTTTAGTTTAATGCAGGTGTCTCAAATACTAGCAGGCACACTATTTAGGCTTGATGGATCAAAGGATACATTTTTATGTGCACAATCACTGCTAACATGGGTGGAAGCAGTTTTATACCAATATACCAGAAAACTAACTAAAAAAAAAAAAGAGAAGGATACTGTTCTCAGGAAAAGGAACAATAATATGAGACAAAAAATCTTACCTGGAGATAAAAAGGAAGTAAACTGGTAGAATATTTCAGTGTCCTTCTTTTGGCCACTATATCCCACAATACTACCAACTTCTAGGGGAAAAGTCTTGAGATGTGCACCGGTGGCTAGGTCATGAAGCTGCAGGATATTCTTCACATCATGCAAGTAGCACAAAACCAGGAAATTGGACCTAACACAAGCAACCCATTCTGCACAGCATGTAAAAGAAAAACAAAGCCACAGAAAACACAATTAGAAAACACGAGAAAGAAAACAATCAGACATAGTCTGATCCTAAAATTCTTTAGCATACCTAAAAGCATGCAGCAAAATTTCTGTTACGCACTGCCTTTAACTCTTAGATCTTTGTAAATGAACCCAAAATAAAGCCTGACATTCTCTGGAAATGCATTAACCATGCTGCTTAAAGTTGATTTATGCAGACACAGGAATAAAAAATTGCTAATCAATATGCTTATGCATTTAGGATATTTATAGATCAATACTGCTCTTAAATATCACATATTTCAATGCATAACCCAAGCAAAACATTTATCTTTGCCAGAAATACTTATGGAAAGTCATGAAAATCAAAACAATAATTATGATTTATACTCAAACTAAACTCGTAAGGAAAAAAGACATGGTTCCATATTGCACACTGAGGAACAGAACCTAGATGTTACTATTTGTTTTGGTTCTATTGCTGAAGTAATCAGGAGACTATTCTTGCAAGCAAGCCCTACTGGGTGTAAGAAAAGGGCTATTCTGGGGTGATATTCTCATCATGCCATTAAGAAAAGCCCACATGCCTATTCAAGATGCTAATGTTGCTAAACAGCATTCTTGAGACTGCAAGGTAATAGAAGCAGGATGCAGCACAGTGAACTCAATCCAGCAAAAAGATCCAGGAACAAACCCCTCTGCAGAGGTTCACTGCCTTTATGTCTCTCCTGGCAGTCCTAGTTCTAGCCCCGCCGTGTCTGTGCAGCTGTGCAGGAATGAGAGGTTCTGCTCTACAGAACTTTTCCCATCCTGAGTTTGTTCCTTGGAATAATTACTAGACATATGTGAACCTTTATTTCATGGCATGCCAATTTTCCACTGGACTTAAAAAAATTAAGACCAATTAAAATAAAATATCTGGGTTAGTAATTTCTACAAGTTTCTGTGGTTCTACTGACTATCGACTACCTCACTTTAACTTCCATCACTATAGCCTGTAAGTGTAGAAACTCTTTGGAGCTCCAGTACACCCACAATATATAATGTAATATATAATGTCTCCTGTGTCATTGGCTTTAGATCTGTAGTGGCAGGTCTATTTATTTACTCATACAGACAGGAGAAAGATTAAAACATCTTAATCTTGCTCAATATTTCTGTCATTTAAGAAATTATTTTGCAACAAAAGTATTTTAACTTCTCATTAATTCACAAATTGAATACAAGCAAGACAAAATACACGTAAAGTTAAAAATCAAAGAAAGTACCCTGAAGGAGGCAATGTAGGACATTTTTATTTGTTTGTAAGACTAGATGAGGAGGTGATTCTTATTCTCTTCCAACTACATATACACAACTTCTTCTCTGACAATACAGACTGGAAATCTAAATCATGGGCAAAATACCAGTGTTGTAAAATGGCTTTTATTACCTACTGGAAGCAAAGAATGAGGACATGAACCAAATGAGCAAGAAATTTTAGGTAGGACAGACAGGGGTACACTGTAATGCCAAAGCAGCACTGTGAGATGGAGTCAAATGTGACAACATTAAAGGAAAAAATATCAGAACATAGCATATAAAAATTTATGGAATTTAAATTTTATGCCATTTTATGTTATTCACATCTTAACAGTTCTTTCTAGTTTCCTCTAAGTCCTATGAAACCAAATAATTGGAATTCATAGAGTTGTAAAGAAGACAGTCCTATAAATGCATCTTTGCATATTCAAATTCCAGAATAAAAGTTCCAAGTTGTATGTGATGCTCCTTTCATTAAGGGTAACAAGTTTTTGGAATTGAAGGTCAAAACTTGTTATACTGAAAGCATCATATATATGTTGTCATATAGAGTTCAGGTCTGTGATGACCCCTAGAGCTCAAAGACCTTCAAATCCTTTTAGCTTGTTTCTGAAGGACCAGTGAAATGCAATACTTGTCTTTCTAGACATGTGAAATCACATTTCATAAATACTTAAATAAAGCTTTACTGTTCCCCTCTTCACAAACACTGCCATTCATCTTTTTTTTTTTTACAAACTTTCCAACTCCCTCATGAGCTTCTAGTCTAAATTTGGGAATGTTCTAACCAAAGCCCCAGAGAACACTTGCTGAAATTTTAGCCATGACCTGAAATAATAAGGTACTGCATAACCTAACACTGTTTATAGATTAGTAATCGATGTTTCATTTTCACTCTAGAGAGGTTAAAATTTCTTAAGTGAAGCTGGAGAACATAATAAATGTTGTAAGTTAATAGTTATATTCTATTACATATTTTGAAATACAGAATCCCTCTTGGCTGTATACACAAGGAGAATATGTAGTAATTTAAAATATTTTTCAACTTGCCACTGCACAAATTTTTCAGGATTTTTATATGGTTTATGAAATTAACACAAAATATGAATTTAAAAGTTAGCATCCCAACAGCAACACACCTTTTTTGCATGCAAAATTATTGCCCCTGCAATGAGTAGGAGATCCCATGAGCTCCACTGGTATTCTTAGCAACATCTATAATTAAAATGTCCAGTTTTACTCTCAAAATTTCTTGAAAAAACATTTCACAAAATGGATTATAAACACTCAGATCAACTTCAAATGTATAAAATATATAGCTTTTCCTCAAAAAAAAAAAAAAAGGACTTTTATTTTAAAATTATGTTCGGGTGATGCTTTAATTCCTCACTAATTATTTGATTAAACAGCTCAGTTTAATGGATTTTTTCTTTAAGAGCTGATGTTCATTATTACTTTGACTTTATATTCATGAAGTGGTATTACTCTTTTTATTAGAAAGATTCAATTGCTCAGGAGAAAGGCTGCTGGCTTATGTGGGGATTTCTGCTACTAAGGAACTTGCCTAGGAAGCAGCAATATCAACTCTCCATTACCTCTTTGTTTTATAAATTAGATGCTCTCAAGTGGAGATAACAGATGAGAAGCCAATGAAAAATATTTTTAAAACATTCCCATGAAATTTAGGAACACAGCTTCTGTGTACAGTACCTGTATTATAACTGGGTTTGGTGCATTGCTAACTGCCTCCAAAACTTACAGTAATGGCAGCTACAAATAAATGCAAAAAGCTAAACATTGAAGCAGACTTGAAAGACCAAAAGTAAAAGAAGATACTAAGAACCAACACTTATATACACAGCAAGCTAAAACAATGCTGAATTATTAACAATAGCTATTTTTTGACTGCAAGCTTTGCGATGAGTCTCTGTTATTCCCATGCTCAGCACTGAGAACCACAGGTACTGTTGGCTGTGTTGCATTAGCAGCCAACCTTTTGGTCTTGCTCGTGCAGTGCAGGATGCATCCTGCATGCCTCTGTATTTACTAAGAACTTTTAAGACTGTGTGATTTCAAATCTCCTGTCTAAGCCTGACACCATTGCTGTAGGCACCCTTTACAGACAAATGGGGAGAAGAAATAAGCACCTTTAGAGTGCAAGTGAACCATTTATTTTGGATACCCCATTCTGGGATACTGTGAATTGCTTGCTGAGCACTTTCACACACACAAGTGATGGTTTTCAAAAAGCTAACTGCCCAAAACCTCATCAATGTATAGGTCAATTTATTTTCAGTTAATACTGATGAACAGAGAAGTTACTCTCCTGGATATACCAAAATTTATCAACCTACCTACTTCCATCATCCATCAGGCACAGGATTTATATTACTACACAATAAACACTAGGAGGTTGTCTTCTCCAGCATGAGCATCTGGCTTCAGGCATCAGATAGAGATGAGCACACTTGGAGGCAGTACTTTCCTAAGTACTGAAAGCAGGTGTGAAGAGTTATCCCTGGTACTGGCCAGTTCTCTCTGAAGAATACAGTGACCAGTTTGGTGACTACAATAGATTACACACAATTCTTCAACAGCTAAATTTGGGTTAGAGGAGATACAATTCTTAACAAGGCCTAGAAAACTGAGTTCAACTGTGTCTAGAACTTCTAGTTCAACCTTTGAAAAATTCATACACTGCTACTTTCCAAAAACTTTTTTTTATTTTGACAGCTGTTATTAGTCACAAAGCTGCTAATGTGGCACCTGCAATGTTGCTATGAAGAACCTTTTGAAATAGTTTCAGTGAAAAAAAAAGGGTTGAGTCCTCACACTAAACATCTGTGCCACTAACCTTAATGACTTAAAACAGTTTTGACCTTTCTTTTCTGCAGCACTAACTACAGCATGTGAAGTGTCTGAACATACAAACATGCTTTGACAGATGAAATGCTGATGGAGAACATACCCCACTAGAAGAGCCAAACAGCCACAGAGCATCAGCAGGAATTGCTGAGTTACCTGATGTACCCTGTGCTTATGAGTCCACTCAACATGTGTATTGTTCAGTGAGAATTATTAATGTATTTCAATGGACAGCCAAAGCTGTAGCTGCAAGACAGTCCTGGAAGGTCACGGTGGCTTTTTTTGGTCATCACAGAGAATGACCATAAACTTCAGTGGCTCTGCAGATTAACAGGTACCAATGCTGATCTCAACTACAATGAGCTCTAACCATCACTCAAGGCTACTTATGGTTAGCCTTGCAGGTAAAGCACAAGCAATTTACAGAATAAAACATTAATAATTCTGAAACAAGTGAGTAAATGCTGACAGCCTTCACATTATAAAGCATATATCTTCTCACTGAAACCCTATTCTCAGTGGCAGCTTGCCATGTTAAAGTTAATGGGAAAGCTTCAACCAATTTCAAGAAGTCAAGGATTTGGTGCTCCTTCCAGACTTTCCCTCCTGTCTTCACTACAGTGTCAAACCACAAATTTCAGCTGCAGTACCTCACCTCCCCATCTCTCACATATTTATGAATTAGTTAGCAGGTTAAAGGTATAAAGAAAAATACTATTTTCCATTTGGGAATTGTAGCTGAGGGAAGGGAAGCATTTACTTGCGCTGAGTTTAGGTGTGCAGATGTGTACAAGGGTACAGGGAGGACTGCCAGCTTTGCCTGTGCTTGTTAAATGGCCAACTGAGATTCAAGGAACTGTTAAGATCCTCCTCCTCATCTGCAACATATTCAGGAATACGTCTTATTCCTAAATCCTCCTTACTCAGGAGATCTATTCTGCTTTCCATTGCCACAAGGAAAGGGTTGGATAGAAACTGCTGCTCTCCAGGTGCCCGGCTCTACCAGTACTGAGCACTCCGGGTGCAACGGAGGGTGTAACAGTTCTCAAAATAAATAATTTAATCTTCTAAATGCAGCAGGCTTATCCTGTGCCTTAGAACTAGGGTTGCAGGTCTGTTATGGTCAGTCTACATTTATGGTGTCATAGCTGCCTTTTTAATTTAGCATGCTTCTTGAAGCTGTATGATCATTTAAAGCAAAAGTTCAACATCAGATGTGAATTTCTCCTGTGGTTTTACTTCAGACTCCCTGAAAATTAAAACTAACACTTTATAAACAAACTCCAAAGGGAAGGAAATTAGTCTGATCACACTACAATATGCTCTGAGGTACCCTCTTCAAATTCCTTTTAAAATAGCTGTCATTTCTTTCTTCCCCTCAGCTTACAGAGTAGAGATCTAAATTTACCTCATATCTCTGTGTAGAATCCCTGCTGACAGCAGTAAAATGAAGTGAGTGTATAACCTCACTGCAGGGCTATGCTTGATTTTTCCCTTTATTTCCCAAATTATCTCACTTATAAACAGTTCTTGAAAAAGAAAGGGTCAAAGCCAATAGAAAACTCTATCTTAAAGAATATATTGAGGAAACCAAATGACATTCACACCATCATGCAGGCATGTGTATATATTTCTTGGTTAGATTGTATTAGCTGTAGCATCTTTTGAAGAATACAATGATACTTTGTAAAACATCTCTTTATGCCCATGATGGATACTGGTAGAGATTCTTAAATTTAAATCCTGTTTATTATTTGTAAACAAATCTATTTAACTGCAGCTTTTATGAAATTGAATCTAAGTTAAGACACAGAAATGAACAGGCTATGTCTTTCAGGTAGGTCATACCGAGTAGGATCCATACATCCCAATAAAACACATTTGCAACCTAGGGTACCACTAACTATAATGCTTGTGAAGAAATACTAATACAGCTAAATTACATCTTGTTAAAGTCACTCCCACATGTAAGTAAAAAGCAGTAATACCCATTTACCCTCTGAATCACTGCTGTCTTAGCTTTTGTAGAAGGAACTTCATTACACTGTCATCTCTATATCACCCAGATCAAATTCAGTTGACTCCAAGGTTTTCAAGAATTAATCATTAACTGTCATCACTACAATTATGTCTTCCTGAACAAAGCTTGTAATGATTAAAAGAGCCTGATATGGAGACTGGCTTGCTTGCTGGCTACATCAAGTGAAGGAGTGAAGTTTTTTATTTATTCAGGTGTACAACTTCCTGAACATGATAAAACTCCCATATCTTGATACTAAGGATGTAACACTAATCTGCAAGTATCTGTAATAAAGAAGCAACTTATGAATTTAAATTTACTTTCCTGTAAGATCTACTATATATTTATTAAGATCTACTTAAAACTCATCTTCTAACGGAGACTCTTTCATTTGTTAGTTCAATCCAATTTCTTTACATATAACTCCAAAAAGCTATAGAGGGAAGTAGACGTATGATTATGTGTTCTGGCTTCACATTCAACTACAGTAAAAGATTAATGACACATAACATATTCCTGGAAGTCATCCTGATGCTTTCATAGACAGATTATGCTTGCTTTCAAGTGTTTAAGAGCTGAATGCCTGTTGGGTTTACAGTCGGAAGGCCAGTGTCCTCAGTAAACCCGTTCATCTGAGCTTTCAGTTTTTGTAGTGCAGTTCTTGTTAAGTCTGCACTGTCAAGGCTGTCATATATAAGGCATTAAATAAATGTTGCATGCATTAATTTTGTTTGTGCACAAACATGAACTCATCACAACTTTGCCTTTAGAATTAAACCAAAATGAAGTTGAGCTAAATATCACAGTGTAGGGAAGACCAGATCTGGCATTTATCTCACTGGGAAGGAATAGATAATCAGTGCTTACAGAGACACTGGTCAAAATTCCTTTGGCTGCCTAGACCATTTTCCATGTAAGTCCACACATATGAACCACATTTCATGTCAGTCACAGGTTTCTGTCCCATTCTGTTTAGACACTCACCACGTCCAAGTCAATTTTTCAATTTGGCCCCACTTTATAAACTGCTGTCCCTCATAACTTAAACATTGCTTAACATTGCCTGTGTATTTGCACATGACCAAAATTAAGACTTAGAAGCAATTTTTCACTTACATCTGCTACTAATTCTCTGCTTATGACTTGAGACATACTTCATTTAAGATGCAGGTTGCTCTTGATTCAAATAGTTCCCAATCTTAAGAAAAGATTTGTGCCTCACAAGCTCTAATTTGCTACATTTCCATACACTAAAATTCTCTTGATATTCTAGAGTCCAGTCATTTGCAACATCACTACAATTCTGGATAAGTTTAGAATCAACATTTATGTCACACTGGGGACACCTAGGCTGTGGCAGAAATCACACAGGGCACATTGTGAACTGCAGACAGAAATAATTTTTTAAGTGACAGAAGCCTCAAGATAACTTAGGAATAGTAGTAAAATAGATTTGTCTCTGAGGAAAGACAGAAGTTACTGTATATGCATATATGAAATCAGATACACAATTCTACATTTTCATTCCGCAAAGCAGCTCTTCACTGGAAAAGTAGCAAACATGAAGGAATTTGTATGAAAAGTGATTAATAAAACTTCAGAGTATTTTTGAATAACTAATTATGCTAGTCAGATAATTAGTACCTTGTACATAATTGTACCTTGTACTGGATGGAGAACAAACTACATAAATGTACACTAGGCATCTGTCAAAAACAGCTCAGAGGAGAGTCTTCTGTATTATCTGAAACTAATTCTAAGCTTTCATAGAACCTTCTGGAAAATGATGGGATTAAAAAATACACCTTTATTTTAATTATATCAAAAACCAAATATTTATGTTTTGAATGGCCTTCTATACTTCAAGAACTCCATGCCCTTATGCTTTTCTGAGGCTTTTTTTTTTCAAGTACTGTTTACTCCTCTTATTCCAGGAACAAAAGAAATCCTGTCTCAAATTCTGACCAATTCTGTTCAAAGCATGCTGCAGTACTGCCAGATTTGCTCTTTCCCTTCTTTCTCCTTACAAAGTCCCTCTTATTGTAATTCCTGACTGTCTAGTAAATATTTATTTCACTGACATGAAGTAGAAAAATACTTTCCCCTCATTTCCTACAAACACAGAATTGAAACAAGGACAGATGAAGCAACTTTATTAGGGCCACACAAGACGTTAGAAAGAGAAAGAGATATTCTGAATAACTTGTATCTCAGCAAGTCTTTTAATTGCAAATCCTAAACAAAGTTTTAACACAGGAAAACAGCAAGAAAGTCTGTAAAAGATAATTCAACAGACTAATTACTGAATTAATTTGGAGAAAGCAGAACCTAATGTCTTTAACCTGACATGAACTCTTACCTAGAACATCTTTCTCATGTTCAGGGACGAGAACTTTCCATTTGGATTCCTCTGGATCACTGAAGTCAATGTTGATTAACCGATAATTTGGAGAATGGCGGTTTGTCTTGAAAGTGAACACTGTTCCTTCATTGGTGACATACTCGTACTCAGCCTCAAAGTTATCTATCAGCTTCACCCATTGAAGAATTCCTGCAAGATCAAACAGAATGTCAGTTCCTCAAACAAAACCTTACAACACCTGAGAGCAAGGCTGTCCTAACAACTGCTGTAGGCTCTTTCTTGAACAATGCCAGTGACCAGCGCAGTTATGGAAAGGCCAGAATCTGTACCAGGTATTAAGAACTTCCAAAGACTGCTCCAGATCAATAGGCTGCAGTGGAAAAATGACAGTTCACAGACATGTTAAGATGATTGGTTTGGAGGAATTTCTAGCAAAATACTGACAGAATTATGCCTCGTGTTTCACCAGCTTTCCTAAGGGGCTTCTGGAGAGCTCAGATGTTTGCCACAGCAATGCTCCTACCACAGGGGCTGCTGTGAAGCCAATGCTACCGAGCGCATCAGGCTCTTGTCAAGGGAGCTCATAAATGCCCCTTTCAACAGACTTAGAATGAAGGGCTGCAGCTGAATTGAAAGACTGCACTAAGCTTTCAAGTGCAATTTTATTTTTAACAGCTTTTCTACAATTACTATTTAATTATGAAGATATGTTTGGGGATTTTAGTTCCTGCAAAAAATTTTACTTTGAATGGAAAGTTTTCCATTCTCCTTAAAAGCCCAGAACTTCCCACAGAATAGAAATTATGCTATTGGAATTAGTACAATAAACTTCAACGAGAAGTTTCTCTTTCAACTCAGAACTAGCATTCCTGAAATGCTGTTCTGCAGAAATTTGTCGCCATCAAAGGACAACTACAGTTAGCAAATGTAGATGAGACAGCCTGGTCAGAGAACCAGGAAAGTAGGTAACTTTTCCAATAATCAGCTTGTGAGACTTTAGGGATTTGAAGAAAAACAATGATAGCTTGTTATTCTAAATAACCTGCAGGTGTTGTTTTTCTACTCTCAGTTTTCCTGTTTTTATCAAAGATTGTTTATAAGAAAGGCATTTTGTTAATTAGCCAATCAGGTGAAATGTATTGATTAATTGACCAATCTGGTCTATCTGTATTGGAACAGTGCATAAAAGAGAGAATTTCAAAGTAAAGTGCAATGCTGTGCAAACCAGCCTTCTGGTGAGTCTGTGTAATTTCTTACTCAACAGCGACAAGCAGAAACATCTGGGTTTCTGAAGAAAGAAACTGCATTTTGCCTATCAATCTCCTAGAATATCCCACTCAGTAAAAGAAGCAGACTTCTCTCAAAAATTAATTGCCTCAGTTTCAGACTGTGGTACAGAGTGGGTAGTATTGACTCAACCTGAAGATATGATTTTAAGACTCCACTGCCTTTCATTCACATTTTCCTGTTTTGCAATAGGTTGAGAGGCTAGTAGAAAGAAAAAGCAGCAAGGCTAGATAAGATATGTGATATACTTGTTATATGTACAACCCAACCTATCATCCAATCTTACTATTGTAAGCATCATACATTAGCTGTGCTGAAAAATCAGAATCCTTATTGGTATGTGAAACTAAAGCTCTTATATCTTAAAAAAAACATTTAGTGCACTGTCTGTCCCCTTCCTAAAGCTACAAGTTGGGTCTTTGCTTTTAAGTATAAACAAATAAACTGTTCATAAATCTGTGTGTGAAACTCTGTAATGCAATGTTTATATCAATAAAAAAAGCATTTCAGCTTATTTTATAATATTAAAAACTGAGCAGAATAATGCAAGTAGTCATAGCCAAGCTGTAATTACTGTAAATGAAAAAAAATAAAAGAATAATTGAGGAAGCAGTGAGATGACTAAGGTCATTTAAAACCCATTAGATGTAATAACAGAGTATAGTCAGGCCTGGTACATTCATAAAGTTTGTATCTCTTAATTGCCATTTTGGTTTAAAGAAAACATCCCTGTCTCTTCATGCAAAGTAATTAAATTCCACTTTGTGTGCTGCTGTAGTACAAACTTTCCACACAATCCAGTCAATTTAGTATCCTGAGTGAATACACTGCCCCTTAAACTTGATTTTTCCTGAGATCTGAAGTTTTGCCCAAGAGATTTCATGTTAAAAGCAAACTCCTGCTAAGTCACTGCAGTTGCTGTGAGTTCCACAGAAAAAACCTGCTTTGATGACCAGCAAAAAAAAAGCAAATCTATTCTACAGAGAATCCTAATAAACAACATGAAACCATTTCAAGACCCCAAGTCACATGGCATTTTAGTAAATAAAAACTTTAACTGCAGAGTAACACCATAACAATACTGGTATCTGACAGAATGAAACCATCATACTGAAGTACAAGACTTCATAAAAAGAAATTGCCAGACTGTTGAAAAAACACATTTTTTCAATGGCAAATGTGCACAATAGTTGTAGTCTCCAAGTGCAACAGAACTTGGATTTCATGAAGAAAAAGGACAATAATGTGACACTAGGGATTTACATTGCTTCCTTACAACTCATTCATCCATTCCCAAATGAGCAGCTAGTAAAAAAGTGAGAGGGTTGATGTAAGGGGTACACTTAGCTGTTATTATACAAAAACAGGAGCATCCATCTTATTAAAGTGGCTTTTATGCAGTCCTTAGAAGACAAATATTACAGATTAATTACCTCTAAACTACTGTCTTACTGAAGTGGTTAAATATGCCAACATCTAATCCAGGATCAGGCAGGAACGAGGCAACTACAGGCAGCCCTTACATCATTGCTGCACAGAGGATGTGCTGCAGTTCTCCAGTGAGAGGAACAAATCCTTTGCAATGACACAGCTCTCAGCCATAAGAAGATGCTTCCTTATGCTTGGTTGCAGGTGACCTGGTTGTGGCTGTGACTGAAAGGGATATTCTAGCATTGCTTCAGATCCCCTTGCTTAGCCTTCTCCTTTGGGGTAGAAATAACAACCTAATGACAAACACAGGCAGTTACTGGGCACTTACATGGCTGAAAAGTGATGGGGATAGACACCATTTCTTCCCAGTTCATGCCAGTGGCAACACAAGGAAGGGACAGGCCCATTTAGTTCACTAGCATGGCACTGCCCCCCATGTCCAGCACTCTGACCTTGCCTCTCAGTAACAAAAAGAACAGTATGTCTGCAAGTTATGACTTCAATAAGTACTTGAAAAACAAGGTGAAGGATAGACATTAAATCCATTCTTCATAAAAAGGAGAGAAAAGAGTTGAAGAACTGGATCTTGATATGGAATTTATAGGTTTAACCAGCAGCCCTCTGAGAACGTGTCTTTGAGAAGAATCACTGAGAAGTGGTATTTGGATAGTCTAAGGCTACTCTTAACACCTGAAACGCTGAAGACTTCAGTTTAATCCACATAAGCACACAATCAGACAGATTTATTATATACAGGAAAAGCATGGTAGTTTCCTGTACACTGCTGCTATACCCCAATCCTTTCCCTTGCCAGTCCTTCTATTAAAATACACCATTGAAAAGATACAGATGGTTTTGCCTGTATGTTTTATACCAATCAGTTGTTCATCATCACATTACTACATTACAATAGGAATTGCAGGTAGAACTCAATGGACAATAATGCTATACTACACAACAGAAAATGGTAATCTTACAGAGCTAGACTTCTGCAAAAGACTAAATCAATATTCAGTATACAGACAAAATTTTTAAACAAAGTTTTTGGATCCACAAAAGATCAAAAGAGAAATTGTTTCAGTAAGCATCACAGAATATGCCCTCAATCTTGTACTGGCCTCTGGACATAGTAAAATATTCCACGGTCTGCTGAGAGATCTGGGTGATGAAGCAGGTCTGTGAATGACAACTATAGGAGAAGGAAAAGCTAATTTGAACAAATTGGTAAGAGCATGAATTATAACAAGGTCTTGTTACCAACCCTCTTTAGACAGAAAGGATAGAGTGGCTGAGAGTCACTGTTAATCACTTCACTAAATGTTCTTGATATTTCCATATTTCGTGTAAAGGCCAAACAAATGGCAAATAACCTCTATGTACTGGAGAGATAAGGTTTAATGGTAGGATTATCTGACACTGGGAAAGAAAGTTTTCAAAAGGCAAACACTTGCATTTGGCTTTTTTAATGGGCTCTAACAGTCAAAATTATCAGGTGAAGATATAAATCCTCATCTCTATAAATTCCATTCTGTCTTGTCATTTTTTGCAAGACAGCTTTTCCACAAATGGGGCAGTGCTGAGAAAGCTCAGGAAATGAACCAGGAGGCTTGGCTCATAAGAATGGGACAGGTTTTCTAACCCAAAAAATTATGCCACATTTTATTACAGTACACATATTAAATAAATAAACTTATACCACAGAAAGATCATGATTTTTTAACTCCTAGATTTTCATAGAATTACAGAATGGTTTGGGTTGGAAGGGAGCTTAAAAGCCATCTACTTCCAACCACCATGCCATGGGTATAGGGTCACGTTTCACTAGACCAAGTGCTCAAAGCCCTGTCCAACCCAGATTTGAATACCTCCAAGGATGGAGCATTCACAACCTCTCTGGGCAACCTCTTCTAGTGTTTCACAGTACTAATCCACACTAGGTTTTACATTCAATAGAAGACAGAATCTCATGGTACACAGCACACATTAGACCGGAAGAGACTGTTTCAGGGCCCCTGTGGCATGTTCATAACATATTCTGGGAACTGAATGGCAGAGTCCTTCAGTCAGACATCTACTTCTACATCAGAATCTAATTCCTTCTTGAATCATGCAATATTCAGCTTCCTCTCAAGCCCCTGCTCTGAGCAAGGCAACTAGGGAAAAGAAATAGGGTTTTCCCCTCTTTTTTCTTCAAAGCCACAAATATTTAATTGTTTCACTCTGATCTCCAAGGGCAAGAAAGATTTTCAAACAATTTAGACTCTCTTTAAAAGCAAGATCTCTCTGTCTTGGGACCTGACTTCACTTATAAACATCTGAGAGAGGAAATACTGTAAAGAAGATATTAAGATGTTCTTAAAAGGAATGCAACTTTCGTATTTGTATTGAGAGGGTATGACTCATTTTGCAGATGATAGATGACAGCTACTCAATGATCATGGAAAGTTAATGTATTTGCCATCTAAAATATA